ACAAGTCAGGGTAGAGCCGTGGGGGGGCCTGTGCACAAGTCAGGGTGGGGCATAGGGCCTGTGCACAAGTCAGGGTGGGGCCGTGGGGGCTGTGCACAAGGGAAGCCCTCAGCCTAAGCTGTCTGGGTCTGCTGTTGCCGCCAGATTAGCATTACGGTGCCTTCCACATCCTCTGGTGTCTTCTGTGTGGACATCCTCTGAGTGGGCCTGATCTGTCCTCGGGTGTAGCTAGAAGTGTTCTCCATCCCGCTGGTCCCCCTGGACTGGTTTTCCTCTGCTTGCCTGTTCCTGAAGCCACTTATGAAATATATGAAATAACCATTCTGAGGCTTATTATCAGTTACAGTTGTTTGACCACTGTCTTAGGCTTCTTACTGGCTAGCTCTAACTATTAAATTAACCCATTTCAATTAATCTATGTATCGCCACGAGGCTGTGGCTCACTGGTAATGAATGTCCTGGCATCTTTCTCCTTTGGCTGGCTACATGGCGTTTCCTTGTCTCTTCTGTCTGTCTCTCTGTCTCTCTGTATCTTTGTTTGAATTTGCCACCCATCTTTACTCTGCTAAGCCATTGAAACAGCTTTATTCATCAACCAATAATATTCAGAAGGACATCCCCCGTCACTTAGGTGAACGCCTCACTATTATAATGGATGGGCCACTCGAGCTCCATTTCCAGAGCACCCTTGACTGGGGGCGTCGTGGCCATAAACTCCACACACAGCCCTCCACTGCCAATGTGTGGAGCCAGGCATCCGGAGAGCTGGGCTCAGGGCAGAGTCCTGTGTCACTTTGATCCCAACACAAGCTACACCCTGCTCAGCATCCAGCTGGTACAAGAGCAGCGTGGGTACTGAGCTTCTCCCAGAAGCCCCTGTCATTCAAACTCAGCCGCTTAACAGGCGGGGGACCTGGGCAGCAGGATCTCCGAAAGGGAGTCGTGCACAGCACTGCAGCCGAGATGCCATGGGGATCAGCAGGGATGATATGGGTGGTAGGCTGGGGATGAGGGTGTAGGGATGAACCCATGGAATGGAGTGTGCATAGAAAGAGCTCGGCATGGACTGCCACCCAGTGGGCACTCGGGGCCCTGTCCTGTAGATACCAAGTGTTTCAAAAGGTCCCTTGGGACTTGGGGAGGCACTTCGCTTGTCAGCCACAAGGAGTTTGACCTGATCCATCTGTAGCTGCCTGTCCCTGCTGCAGCTTAAGCCCCAAGTTCTCTGGTGGGTCTGTGGCTCCACCCTGCAGCATCACTGCTGGTAGTTTCTGTCACATTTCTTGAAGCCACTAAGGGAAGAAGCCCATTCCCATCACTTTCCTCGGCACCTCAGCTCCCACACACCTTCCTCCTGTTTGCTGAGGAACTCCCACGCATGGCTGGGCCTGGGCAGAGTCCAGCACTGGGCTCCGGGAACCTGGCCTCACCCCTCCACATGCACACCCACCAACACCTACCACCAGGAAGCAGGATTGGAATCAGACTGTATTTCATCCTGTGTGGTGGATGGATTCCAACCTGACCCAGTCTTAACCCAATGGAAAGCGTCTGTTTCCAAGAGCATGGAAAATCCGGACAGCCACAAAAGAAGTAAATGTTACCATGACTACAGAGCCTGCCTCTCCTGAGGACCCAGGGTTCTCGGTGGTAATCTGGGAAAAAAAAAAAAAAGTATAGTTCGACAATTTGCTAATATGAACATGGTTGAGATTACACATGGGATTATACATAAAAATTTATGCTATTTACCCAGACTGAATTTTTTTAAAGCCTTTCTACAAATGCCTGATGAAATAGGAATGGGGCCACATCATTACTTTGGCCAAGTTTTATGACTTTGAGTACAGTTTCTTCATTCACAGACGAAGTGGGAGTGGATCCAAGATGACTCCCCTGGTGTCTTCCGTCCTGCTGTGGCCCGGGGGCAACATCTCTCTGCTCCCCTGTAGCCGTCTGAGGGTGTATGAGGCTTGTGGAAGGAGGCAAGCACAGGTGGGAAGGAAAGAAATGGCTTAGCTGTTTTTCCGTCATTCTCGGGCAGAAGAAATTCCTCTGCACAAGCAAGTATGTGCTGCCCCTCTGAGTCGCTAACATTTATGACCCAAACTTGCTCGTTTCAGATCGGCCACATCGATGGAGACCCCAGCCGCAAAGGAGCCTTTCCTGTCTCTTTCGTGCACTTTATTGCTGACTGAGTTGCTACTGAGCAGAAGGCCTTTCTTTCATCACGACGTTCCATTTTGTCATTGATACCAAGATCCTGCCGTATGGCCGCCCATCGTCTCACAGTACCATTTTGTTCTGAAAACTCAAAGGCAGTTTTTATATTCAAGCAGATTCTTTTTTATAGGTTGTGGTTTTCATGCAACATTGCTATACTTTTACTAGGAAAAGCCAAATGTCCTAAGAGCAAGGAGGCAAAAGGCTATTTTAACTCTAGACCCAGGATCCTGCATTTTCAGGAGTAGCTAAGCCTAAAACTGCTTAGACGAATTTGGGGATTCCTTAGCTTTCCTTGGCGCGGTTGTGCCATTGCTTAGCTTTGGCACTGTCGGCTCAGCAGGCCGGACCGTGCCGCTTCAGTCTGTTGCCGTGCCCTGAACTTTGTCCACAGATGCCATCCATTCCCCCGTAAGACGTATTCCTCTGAAACCCAGCCAGTGTCTGTTTAAAGCGACTTGGCAATTTACACGTTAGCCTTGTACTTTTCCGGCCCCAGCCCAAGGTGGCAGCTGCCATGATCTCCTGCATGTATGTGTGACCCGTTGTCGTGAGCAGTCGTACCTGGCATACTACTGATGGGCTAGTAGGACATCGCACTCTTAGCAGTCTGTTCTGCACCAGTATTCTTAAATTGCAGTTCCTGAGTTTGGTTGAAAACTGAGGATGATGGATTGCAAAAAGCCCTTGAAACCAGCTTGTGTGCCCTAGGTGTTTTAGGATTTGCCTCCTTCAACATCCCCCGTCACCCAGAAAGCAACTGTATACGAGTAGGTGCGGACCACAGTGAGAGGCAGATGCCTCATTGTGTCCTGGTGTGTGCCACTGCCTTCCCCTCCCAGCCCCCAAGGACACCTGCTCTGCTTAGTGTCTTGTCTTTAATAGGATTCTCCAAAAGGAATGGTAGCCACACTGTTTTTAGCCTGTTCAGTTGTTTGTATTCAAGAGCATATCAGAAATCTGTAGATCCTGGGGAGCCTAGTACCCCCCAGACATCCCAGTTACACTATGTAAGGCCTCACGTAACTTTGAAACTTACAATATGTGGGGTGGGGGTGGGGGACTAGGTTGTATATGATAGAAATCAAAACTCATTTGTTTCATGAACTTGACTGCCATACCTCTATTAATAACTGTAAGCATAAAAGTCACGGTAGAGAGATGGGAAATTCTGGCACGCTTTCGGAATAAAGAGGCGAATATAGGGTGTGAACCGGAGCTGGAGTGTGAGCAAAAGGAACGGACTGAAGTGTAGGCTTGGCAACAAGGCAGTGATGCTGTCGAGGTAACACCTGATTGAAGCAGCTCCGTCTGTACTCTCTGCGCAAGGCTCTTACGAGCACGGAGCTTCCCTTTCTTTGTCTCAGAGCAATCAGGACAAACTGGAATGTTTTATGATGCTATATAGTGATTGCCTCCTGTCTTTCAGATTCTGGGTAAAAACATGTTAGATCTGTATTTAAGGTCAGTCTCTCCCCCGCCCCTTCTCAACACTACTTGTTACATTCACTACTCTCATTTCTGTCGTTTAAGCCCTTCTAGCCACTCTTCTCGTAGACCCGAGAGGATGGGCAGATGCATTTGCACAGTGTACCTCTTTTACAGTGCCCCCACCCCCCACGCATCTGTATTGTCCTTTTGGTGACCTGGTGCCAGCTCTCTCTCTGAGAAATCACGTTGATGTTTATCAACATTGGAACTCCGGTCCCAAGCTAACCTATCAGGTTCCCTGGTACTTAAATGCCTAGGAAACATTTTCCCACTTTCTGGTGGTGCTACTGTGTGGTAACGGATAGTGCTTTCTACCAGAAGAGAAATTTAATCGACTTCCCTCCTATTATCCTTTCTTATTTGCTCTCTGCAAACTGAGAAGAAAAAGTAACTGAAAGGAAAACATTGTAGATATCTATTTATATTTAAAGTTTACATTTCATGAGTGTTGGCCGTGGAATTCGGGCTTCATTTTTATTTTTATTTTATTTTTTTGCCACTTTCCATCAGGTCTGACTTGGAGGGAAGAGGACTCAGAATATGGTGCGCAGACTAGTGTGATCTGTTGAGGGTGAGGATGAGCTGCAGCCTAGAATGCTATTTTGAGATGTGTGATACTCAATTCATTCACTCGGTTTCTTTGGTCTAGTTGCAGCGCAACTGTATATACTGTAGAACCTAAACGGATTATTTTCATTGTCCTAATGCAGTGATTTATAATTAGAGCATGTTTAATAAATTGACTTCCTGTTAACCAGTCATTTGACTGGAAAAAAAATAAAGTACTTTTAAATGGACATGGTTTTCCTCTATCAAGTATTAGCTCTTGGTACTTGGCAGAGAGGGTGTGAACCATAAGATCCTTTTAAACCCATTTGTGAAAACCAGCAGATGCCCTCCAAGGTCCTCTGGACTCTGAGATGAACTCCCGTGTGCTGGGTAGTATACGGATGGGACCCTTCAGTTAGGGTGCTTTTCATCTTGACACTGCTGTCGCTACTCCAAGTCATGTGAAATCGAGGTCCCTAGTTCACGCCTATGCCTGCCCCTAACCCAGACTTTCAAGCAAGTAACCCCGAGTCTCTGGGTCGGTACAGTATGCAAGTCTCATTCAGTCGTCTGTGAAGATGCAATTGTCTATGATACATCAGTATTAAGTAAGTCTGGGTACATTTTAAAAAGACAACAGAAGTTTCTTTATCTTATTTTTGGATTTTATTATATGTATGCATTGACTGGCTGCATGTATGTATTGTACACCACATGTATGCCTGGTACCTGAGGAAGCCAGAAGGGGAAGTTAGCTCTCTTGGAACTGGAGTCACAGGCAGTTTTGAGCCACCTTGTGGGTGCTGGGAACTGAACCCAAGTCCTCTGCAAGTGCTCTTAGCCATCTGTCCAGCCCCAAGGTTTCCTTTTAGCCCAGAAAGTAGGTAATTTATTGGAAGTTATCCTACTGTTCCTGACACCTTTGCGTGGCCACTGATATTTCACACGTTACACTTCCTTTAGAACACTGGGTCGGGGCTTTACGCCCTCTCATAGGTCACCACTGCAGATCCAAAGCAGAAAGATGCAGGACCAGGCGAGCTCTCAGATGGGCCAGTTTCCATGGGACTACAGAGGTCAGGACTTGTCAGATGTCAACACAGAGTCAAAGGCTGTGGATAAGACCTTGCAGATTGCTTGGGCTTGCTCCTGCATTGTACAAAGAGAAACACTGCTGCAAATATGATCAAAACAAAGTGCACAGGATTCTCAAGGAAATGGACAAAAAGACAGAGTGAGAACAGAGATAATACATCTCTCTGGAAACTACCTGACTTTCCCGAATTCCTCATTACTTCCCCTGAAATCTACAGCACCTGCCCAGCCCGTGAACATTCCTGAGATGGGCAGACAGTAATGGCTGCTACTAAGCCCTGAGCCTGAGAGGATGGCGGCTCAGGAGTGGAGGGAGCCCCGACCCAGCCCGGGTCAGTGTAGCTTGCTCGGCAGGAGCAGTACCCAGCCTGAGTAGCTGCTGACCCAGGGTTTACTCCTGCTTGCTGATGACCACTTGGGAGAACCTTTGCAAGCTGTGGGAGAGTCACAGTCACCGTGTCACCTGCTGAACAAGAACAAGATGTCTCACCAGGCTGTTGCACTGGTAAACCCACAGGCTGTATTCTTCATTGCTTGCATCTGTGGTCTTGAGTGCCAGCAAGCTCTTCCCGGCTCCTAGGCCATCGTCGTAGCACACCATCCGGATGATTAAATACAGGGCATGCCTATGCAGAACACCCTGTGGAAATCACAAGGCCTTCAGAAAGCTGGGACATGGCTGCCAGCGTTTCGCAGTTCTCAGAAAACACATTTTCCCCATGTAAAGGGCACTGGGAGGCTTGAAAAGACGGGTCCGTAGATCTGGGAGAAAGAACTACACAGCTTCCCAGCCCAAGGGACCCTGGTATGCCTAGTTATGGGGTGGCTTGCTCTCGGGATCCCATTTTCCTGTTTAGACCCAGAGAAATAGGAACAAGGTCAGCTATACTGTCCTCACCTCTGGCCTCCACGTCAACCAGCAGCTACTTTCAAATGACATGGAGTCCCTACATGACACACACTGGTGCCTGCACATATGTGGGAAATACAAAAGAAGCCCCTGCTGTCCCTAAGGAATAGGCAGAGCTTAACACCAGCAACCACCCAGGACCCGGGAGACCCAGGTCCAAGTGCACCCTGAAAGGCTAGGGCTCCCGGTTCCCTAGAACGGGCGCTGCACTTACATGCTGATCTGTGGTTGAGACTTTTATGCCATACTTCGAAACGCCCAGAATAAACTCCTCCTCCAGGGGAACAAAAGGCAACTTTCCATCTTGCTGCAGAGTGGAAATAAATCACAGTGCACACATTAAAATGGCACAGTCCCCTCAAGTTTGATTAGTTGCTTCTGGTCTCTGGTTGTCACAGCCTTGGGCCCTTTAGGGTTCCGTCTACACAAGCATTTCCCCCAAATTCAGATCGATCCTCTCTGTACTTTTCTGTCCTTTGTGATGTAAACCCTAATGATAAATGGAGATCCTAGCCACAGATCCTGGTGACATTAAAATACTTGCACTATTAAACCAGGAATGTTGGCACAAGCTTTTAGTCCCAGCACTCAGGAGGCAGAGGTAGGAGGATTTTGTGAGTTCAAGGCCAGCCCGGTACGCAGTTTCAGGACAGCCAGGACTGTGTGTGTGCCTTGTCTTAAAAGAAGCAAAATTTACACTATTTAGATTTACAGATCCTCAAAGCTCATCTTCACGTCAGCACAAGGAGTGAGGAGGAAGTTGGGTAGGGGGGGGGGGGGGGGACACATGGTGTTTTCTGACTGCTGCGATACATCTTGCTAGCTAAGGATCCCAGGGCTCCAGGTGACAAGCTGTTGATGAGTTAACAAAGCTCAGAGAGTCATCTATCAGCAGGATGAGCTCTTGAGAAACAAAGCAGCGGTGATAACCGATCATACCCATCAGCCGGCCCCATCTACCTAAGAATGCTGCCTAATTTGTCTTCTCTCAAGAAGATATTGCTGGCAGATAATAGGTGTTCTGCATTGCAAATGCTTTTGTGGAGTTGATGAATTACAGTAATTGAGCCATGGCCAGATGCCTCAATTCCTGGCCCTCTGAGTATCTGTAATGCCTTGCCAATCATTCTCACAGATCTCAGACTCAAAATAATGCGGCTATCAATAATGGCGCTTTATCAAATAAAAGCTCTGCAGTGGATGAGCCATCCGGCCATTCTCAAAGAACGGAGGGAGCGCTAATGTAATTTTGAACATCTTTCGTATAACAGAGTACTTGTCACTTAGGCTGTTTGAATGACCATATTCCAAGTCTTATGCAGTGATAAGAACAGGCTCTATCAAAAGTTCTGCTAAATTGCAAATTAGAGTCACTATTTTTCCTTGTAAGTACCTTTCTTTATGGCTACAAAGATAGGAGTCAGTAGGCCCAGTCTCTGTGACTAAGAGACTTTGGGTTCTCTGTGTTGTCCTGGATGTTCTGGGGCTCTTCCTATACAAACCATGATGGCCTTGAACTCACAGAGATCCACCTGTCTCTGCCTCCTGAAGTGTAAAGTTATGAGTATAGATCTCATATTTATATATTTATTTTGGGGTTTCTGAGACAGGGCTTCTCTGTGGAATAGTCTTAGCTGCCCTGGAACTAGCTCTTGTAGACCAGGCTGGCATCAAACTCATAGAGATCTGCCTGCCTCTGCCTCCCAAGTGTTGGGATTAAAGGTGTGCGCTACCACTGCCCAGCATAATTTTATTTTATAAACAGTATGGTGCTACCTTAATTTTGCTACATGTAGAATTTTGTAAGATATATATATATATATATATATATATATATATAATTACAAGATATCTATCTATCAATGTATGTGGGTGTTTTGCCTGCATGTATGTATATGTGCCATGAGCATGCAGTACCTGGGGAAGCCAGAAGAGAGGGTTGGTCCTCTGGAGCTGCAGTTAAGGTGGCTGTGAGTGCCATCTTGGTCCTGGAACAGAACCTGGGACCTCTGCGGAAGCAGCCAGAGCTTTTAGCCACCAAGCTACCTCTCCAGCTCTATGATAATTTTTGTATTTTTATTTTCCTGACCTGAGTACATTTTTGAAGCCCCTCTCACCTTAATTCTTGTAGAAATGGATTATAAAAAAATGAGACACATGCTGGGCTTGGTAGTACACACCTTTAATCCCAGCATTCAGGAGGTAGAGGCAGTTGGATCTCTGAGTTCAAGGCCCGTCTGATCTAGAGTTCCAGGACAGCCAGAACTACAGAAAGTAACTATCTGGAAAAAACAAAACAATAACAACTAAAGATATTTTTGGTCCATGACATGAGTTTTTAAATCAGTGAAACCATTTCAGTAGAGAAAGGCTTTGACAGATTGTTTTAGAAGAATCTATCGTCCAAGCAGTGAGCACAATCAGTTCTTCAGTAAACCAGGAGCCAGGTCAACCAGATAATGTAAAGTTTTAAGCCTGGGTAAAGAAACTTTCCCCCATGCGGCTCCATGTCAGGGCACCTTGCACAGTCTAAGACTCAAAGCTGCCCCAGGATGAGCGCCAGGCTCCAGCCACAGATGGTGAGCACCGTGCAGTGGACCCAGGGAAACATTCTCCTTCAACATACGTTCAGCACCAGCACAGCCAGAGGCTTCCACTGGAGTCAGGTTTTGTTCTGTCACTCACCTGGGCGACATCTATGTAGTTTATCAGGTCTAGTGGTCCTTGGAGACTCTTCCCCTGAGACAGGTCCAGTTTCTCGATGGCACCAACATACTTTATTCGAAACTCGGCACACGTGTCTAAACTGTTGCTTTGTCCTAAGATTATAATAGAAACGAACAACAGTGCCTACTTTACAGAAGGTTTTCTCTTTTTAGAAGATTTCTTTTGATTTTACTTGTGCAGGTGCTTTACCTGCAAAGGCCAGAAAAGGGGAACGGATCCCCTGGACATGGAGTTGCAGACAGTTGTAAGCTGCCATATAGTACCTGGGAATCAAACCAGGGCCCTCTGCAAAAGCAGCCAGTGCTCTTAGCCTCTGAGCCATCCCTGGCCCGTTTCAAACAAACCAATTTTGAAACAAACTCCCTCTGTTCACCAGGATGGCTCAGAAGCACAGAGAGCTGCCTGTCCCAGCCTCTCAGAGTGCTGGGATTAAAGGCGTACACCACCACCAAGTTAGCTTTTTGTTTTTTTTAACTGGCTTTCGAAGCAGGGTCTTAACCGTCTAGCTCTGGCTAGCCTGGAACTTACTATGTAGACCAAGCTGGCCTCAAACTCATAGAGATTCACCTGCCTCTAAGCACTGGGATTAAAAGTGGGCACTTCCATGCCTGCGTCTGCACCCAGCTTCTTAGCTACTAGTTTCTAAATGGAAGATTTCTTGGTATAACAGGGAGGAACTTAAAATTTTATTAACACTCTTTCCTCAGCGATCGACTGATATAGAAAAGCCTCAATGACTAGGGCAAATAAATACTGATAACCTTCATTTCAAAATGAGTAAAAATTTAAAAGTCAATTAGATAGGAAATGCTACCTTATAATATATAACTACTACTTTGGATTCCTTCTACTTTATTTCATGATTCAGGACGCCTGCTCTATCATTCAGATCTATATATTTAAACATGTATATATAAGATAAAGTCAGAAGTCCCGTAACAGAAGGAAACAAACTCTAGCTAGTTCGGAAACTCCCACCAACCACTTGTGACACCTGCCATGCTAAGGAAGTGCAGTGCAATTATGTTTACTCTGTTTGTGTATGGAAACAATGCCAACCTCTTGACACCCGGAGGTCAAGATAATGACTTCTATGTGACAACATTAGTTTAGGTGTAGTGAGAATGAATGCGCTGTACTTCCAATTACCAGCTATTTATAGAGCTCGATTAGGAGTCTCTTAATTTCTAAGGTGCTACCAATTTCATGCGGCTGTGTCTGGGACAAATGGCCTCATTTGCCTGTGTCAGCTGTCATCTCAGTGAGGGTCTCTGGAGGCAGCCTTTGAGGTTAGTGGGTCCTAAACCCTTCGCCACTAACACCTGCCCAATCTCTAAAACCATTTAAGACCAAATATAATTCAGTCTCTGCTACCTATTAAAAGGCGGTTTTAAAACTGCTAAGTCCTTGGCCCAGATGCTTTCAAATGCTTGCTCTCAGATGCACTGAGGACACTTTGTCTGCGTGCCTTTGGCAGGCTCCTACCACACAGCCCTTCCCCTGTCTCACCAAGTCTGAACTGCCCAGAAGTGGCAAGGGGAGAAAAACCAGGAAAGGAGACCTAGCTCTGCCACACAGAGCCACGAGAATAAACACAAGGTCAGCCATCAGGTCACCCGGCCCTCATACCTGAGCTTTTGGTGGAGTCTGTATCAAGGCTGGTGACAGTGCTGGATCTTGAAAGACCCCCAAGGCTGGAATCCACAGACTGAGAAGAAACACAGTAAGACGTATGTATGTCTTCTCTGATGCAAGTTCTTACTAAGCTGAGCTGACACAGTATCTGGTCAAGTGTTCAAGCAGACTGACTGCAGCTGAAGACATTTTCCACAGCAACACATGACACATGACTGCTCTGGAAACCACGTGACAACAGATATACATGTGGTCAGCATCTTCAGTTTAGGGCTCAGCCACTAGCTCCCCTCTCTGACTCTGCCTTATACTCGGAGCCTCTGCTGTCCTGTTATTTCCATGGAACCTCAAAAGAACCCCTGTGTAGAAAGCCAGCCGGTGAGCAACGTCCCTGTCCAGCTCTGAGAGAAACCGAATGTCCCCGTTCCTAATCTGGTCCTATGCAATTATCCCCCTAGTTTCTGGCTGCAGCAGGCTCGCGGTTGTCAGACAGCATGGCTGTAGATGTAAACAGAACAACAAAACGGCATGTTTGGTTCCACCGGACTCCACTGTTGGTGTCACTGTGTCTTTAGAAAAGGCGCTCGGGGAAAGCCTGATTTAGAAGGTGTGTGCTCCATAAATCCGCTGGTACTGCCAGGCAGCCTTCAGTCTCTGGTCCATAGGACTTAACTGAGCTTGCTGTGAGAGGCTGTTAAGTGCACAACGAACCCTAGACTCCGGGAGATCTCACCCCTCAGTGCCTGCAATTTCTATCTTTTAAAGATAATATTTTATGAGCTGCTGAAATGGTACAGCTTTTCTAGAGGACCTGAGTTCAGTTCCCAGCACCCACAGCAACTCAGAACCATTGCTCCAGTCTCTGGGTTCCAGTGCCTTCTTTTAGACTTTGTAGGCAGCCACACTCCCCTGCATATAACTCCCCATTTATACAGAGATAACTAAAATTAAATCTTGAAAAAATAATTAAAAATTATAGTCAGGCATTTTGGCCCATGCATGTAATTCCCGCACATGGGAGGGGAGGATCAGGAGAGGAAGGTTATGCTGCAGGGCTCCTTGCTGTGAGTATGAGGCCAGCCTGAGCTACCTGGGACCCTATCTGCAGGAGGAGGAGTAGAAAAGAGGCTGCATGCAAGTCACTGAGGTAAGGGCACTTGCTGCCCAAGTCTGACAACCTGAGTTCAGTCCCTACACAGTAGAAGCTGTGATATGAACAGAAATGCCCCCCACAGATGCATGTGTTTGAATTCTTGGCCCATAGGGAGTGGAACTGTTAGGAGACGTGGCCTTGTTGGAGGAAGTGTGTCACTGTGGAGGCAGGCTTTGCGGTCTCCTATGCTCAAGCTACAATCAGCACACAGTTCACTTCCTGTTGCCTGCAGAGCAAAGATGTAGAATTCTCAGCTCTTTCTCCAGTACCATGTCTGTCTGCCTGCATGCCACCATGCTCCCTGCCATGATGACAATGGACTAAACCTCTGAACTGTAAGCCAATCCCAATTAAATGTTTTCCTTTATAAGAGTTGCCATGGTCATGGTGTCTCTTCACAGCAATAGAAACTCTAACTGGGACAGAAGCCTAGATCTAATTCCTGCCAACTGTTCCTCTGACCTCCACATGTGTGCTGAGGCACACACTCACCTCAATCTCTCAAACAAAAAGTTTAAAAAGTATTTTTTTAAAAAAATATTAAATCAGTGTGTTTTAATGATACCACACATAGCTTTAGTCCCATTTAGTTGAATGAATTTAAGAATTTCAGAAAATTACCAAAATAATAAAGTTTGAGCAAACACAGAGTGTCAGGTAAGGTGATGACTTGGGTCCTGGCATTGCCAGCACTCTGCCCAGAGCCAATTAGGAGTGCTGCCCTCAGCGCTCTGTGCCTCTGACCGCCCTCTTCTCTAACCTTGCTCTTTGTGCTGATTTCACTGCTCTGGGAACTGCTGCTGCTGTGCCGCTTCTTGCCTTTGCGAAACATCTTTCACCATAGCTTGATCCCAAGATGACGCCCTGGAGGAAGAAGTGTTTCCAGTGCTGTCAAGAAAAGCAACATCAGCCCGGTGGAGGCGCACGTGCCTTCAATTCCAGCACTCGGTAGGCAGAGGCAGGCGAATCTCTGAGTTTGAGGCCAGCCTGGTCTATACAGTGAGTTATAGGCCAGCCAGGGCTACATAGATCGGGTCTCCAAAACAAAACAAAAAAAAGCAAACAGAAGGAAAATCAGCAACAGATCATGTTCCACACAGCACAGACAGAAACCATCAGCCTTTCCAGGCCTGTGGATATGTTCGCCTTACTTCCCTCGGGTGCTGCTCTGGGAATGTGGCTTTGTGGTTCAGCACTTGCCCAGCAATGTGTGAGAACCTGGCTCACTCCCTATTGCTCCCTTAAAGACTTACAGAAGGCAAGGAGAGTTAGAGTGCCTGCCGCCTGCTAGAGGACCTGATTTCGGTTCCCAGCACTGACCTCAGGTGGCTCAGAACCACTGCAGTCCTAGCTCCGGAAGAACCAGTGTACTTTTCTGGTCTCTGATGTTTAACTGCATACCTATTGTGTATACACACAAAGGACACATACACATTAAATACATACATATATGCATACATAAAATTTACAAAAAACCAGGGTAGCAGAGTTGGCTCAACGGTGAAGAGCAGTTGCTGAGTTCAGCTCCCAGCACCCATACGGCAGCTCACAAAAGTCCACAACTCCAGTTCCAGGGAATCCAATGCCTTTTTCTGGCCTCAGGCACCAGGCACACATGTGGCTCATATACATACATTACAGGCAAAACACTAATACACATAAAAACAAGTAATTATTTTAAAAATTTACAAAATGTGAACAAACAAAAAACCCTGTCAGCAGTCATAGCTGAAAAGTACTTTTTTTCTCAGACAAACACACATCACCCAGTTCTCAAAGATCCAGATAGATGCCTTACTTTTCAGTTGATTCAGAATGACGAAAATAAAACATATGACACATTATCAACCAAGATACTGAGATCCAGTGACCTCAGGTACTTGGGAGAGTGGCAGGGTAAGAGCATCTGCACATCCTAGATGAAGACTGTGCCAACACTCACACACACACACACACACACACACACACACACACTCATGCCCCTAGTATTGTGAGACATGGTCTCTCAGGCTAAGCTGGCCTTGAACTCAATGTATGACCTAGGATGATCCTGAACTCCTGATTCTTCCACCTCTGCAGAGATCTAGGATGTAGAGATTATAGGCATGCACCACCACACCCCTTGAGACAGAATCTTGCTGTGTAGCCCAGGCTAAACTTAAACTCATGATCCTCTTGTCGGAGCTTCCCAAGGGCTGGGGTGACAGGCAGGGACTACATTTCATGCCTGAAATGTGCCCTTTTCTTTCCATAGAGAAAGGCCTTTAAGTAAAAATCCAACATAAAAAGCACTCCTAAGAGTCAGCTCCTCACCTCCCTGCACCCAGAAAAAGCAGGAGCTTAAGGAAGGTGGGTACAGTCTACATTTTATAGATGAGGGAGTCCTGACCCGATTTTCAACTCAGAATTTTTGAGGAAGACAATCCTAATACATTTTGCCTAAAACTGATCTCGATAGATCATGTTTTACCAGAACCAAACACTTACTTGGTGTTGTTCTCCAAGGTCCTGCACACAGCGATTTGTACAGCAGCTCCCCTTCCCCTGATATGCCCAGTCCCTTCCAGGCTGAAGAGCGGACCTGGCAGAGGGAGGAAACAGGTAGTGGGTAGAGGACCCAAGTCAGGCTCAGAGCTTCTGCTTGTTCTTGTAGCACCCACTCTCCACCCACCTTCTGGGCTCCTTGCCATGGCAGCCTGCACCTGAGCCTTTGGTCAGCCTTGCACCCAAGCTCCTTCTCAATGCTCACTTTATTTGTAGCAAGAAGGGCTGACTCGTTCACTCAGTCCTGAGTGGGCACTGTGGTGGTTCCAACAGACATGGCGCTCTTAGGAGGTGTGGCCTTGTTGGAAGAAGTGCTTCATTTGGAGGCGGACTTTGAGGACTCCTATGCTTAAGATACCACTCAGTGTTACAGACCATTTCCTGTTGCCTGCAAGACGTAGGACTCTACCATATTTCTCCAGCACCATGTCTGCCTGTATGTCGCCATGTCCATCATGATGATAATGGGCTGAACCTCTGAACTGTAAGCAAGCCACCCTAATTAAATGTTTTCCTTTATATGAGTTGCCGTCGTCATGGTGTCTCTTCATAGCAACAGAAACCCAAAGACAGGTAACAAGCACCTAGGTGCTGGGGACTCATGGCACAAGGACAAAGCTGACCCAGGAGTGTGTGTGTGTGGGGGGGGTGTTCATTTTTAGTGGGAATGAGTAGATCAATAAGAAAAATCCAACTATTGGAGAACAATAATTCCCATGAGGAAAACTGAATGTGAAAAGGCTGTTGACTCCGGGGCAGAAGTTGCCGCACAGGATGGCTCCATGCACAAAGACGCCTGTAGGGAGGGGCTGACAGCAGGAGCCCCTATTCCCAGGCCTGCGCCCACCTAGGTTAACCCAGTGGCAGAAAGCACCACGGAGTGTCCGTGACAGTGAAATTGTTGCTTGGTGACATCCGTAGGTGCATTATATTTAGTGCAGACCTCTTGGTATCTACAGAGGATCCGTTCCATAACTGCACCAAATGCCTATAACCCACACGCACACACCCTGCCCTGCACCACACCCTGCCCTGCACCAAATGCCTATAACCCACACGCACACACCCTGCCCTTGCACTTTACGTCACTTCTAAATTATTTAGTGTAACTAGGCAAGCACGCACCACTGAGCTGAACCTCAGCTTATATCTAATGTAAATGCTACAGAACTAGCTGTTATGATGTATTATTTAGAAAATAACGGTAAGGGGAAGGCTCCGCTTATTTGGTACAATGGGATGTCGGTCTTGCTTTCACCATGCAGCTTTAAAACTGGCACAGAGCCGGGCAGTGGTGGTGCATGCCTTTAATCCAGCACTTGGGAGGCAGAGGCAGGTGGATCTCTTTGAGTTTGACGCCAACCTTGTCTACAGAGAGAGTTCCAAGTCAGCCAAGGCTGCTACACTGAGAAACCTTGTCTTGAAAAACCAAGAACAAATAAATGAAATCTGGTTCTATTGTTTGTAGAATCCTGAAGTGTACCCACAAACCCTTGGCAATGATTTGGATATCATGAAAACTTACTTCCCAGCATCAATCCCAGAACTCGAGGGGGAAAGATTATTGGTTAGTCTTTGGTATCTCCTGCTATTCTGGATGCATGTACTTAAGCAAATTACTCTTGGTTCTAAGTTATTCACATATAAAAATGAGCCTGGGGATGCTGTGTCAGCTGGGTGTTACACAGGTTCACCAAATGCAAAACTGTCAAAGACTGAGCATCCCACCCTCCCTCCAGACATGCTCCTCCCTCGTCTCTCCTACTCAGGCAATTAAGCCATCACTGATAGAAGCCAGAAAGTCACCAGTCCCTCCTTGATCTTCAGCCCCCACATCCAATTAAGCACACGGGTCCCAGAGTGCACAGCAGAGCAGAGCTCTCTGCCTCGGCTCTGTAACCAGCCCCACATCTTTGCAGGATTAATGGCATTCTTTGCAACATGAAGGTGATGAATCCTCAATCTACAGAAAATGCCCAAGTACACAATCTGACACATTTAAGGAACCCACAAAGATACTTTGTAGATAAGATGTCTTTACCTTAAAAACAAAAACAAACAAAACACTGCATAGGAGTAGGGTCCCCCTGGAGCTGGTGTTAAGCCACTGGATATGGGTGCTTGGAACTCAGCAAGAGCAGTAGAGGCTGGTAACCACTGAGCCAGCTCTTAGGATAAATGATCGTGTCCTACAGGACTGGACTGCCCCCACAGTTTAGCCAAATCAATGGCAAAGACTTCCTTCAAATACAAGTCAGAGAGCCTGCAGGAAAGCGTTCACTGGCTCCTCACATTAAGGGACTAACGAAGGTCAGATCTCTCTGGCAAGACACTCAAGGCTCTCCACCCACTTTTAAGCTTGTCTTCCACAAGCTGCTACACACTCACTTCATCCCTCAGGAACGCGAAGCACTGCGCTCCCCATGTGCTCTTAGGCTGTGCTCCAACCTTTCCTCCCACAGAACTTATTTCATAAGCCTCCTGGCAGCTACTTGCCTCTCACAACTTACTTCAGGCCTCTTCTAAGAAAGCCTTCCTTGGACGTCCAGGTTGGACTAAAGGACCCACAGCTTGAATGCACATCAGATCACTGTATTTTAAAAAATGCCATACTTCTACTGAAAACTCTCACTCTCAACGAACTAGTCCAAGGCGGGGCTGGGGTTGTTCTCGGTGGATAGATAAGCTAGCGGAGGGTACCGAGTATTGACTTGGGAGGTGATTATCCAAAACACAACAAGTACTAAACATCCAGCATCGCCAAAAGCACGCTCTAGAAACTGCTAGCCCTCCCTCCCGCCCAGGAGGAGCAGCCGGGGTCCGCCCGGGTCATCTGTGCCTTCAGCGTAGTGGGAACGCCCAGCTGCGTGCACAGGAGGCAGCCGAGCCAGAGATGCAATAACTCGCCCCACAACACAAAGTTAACTTGGGGCCCCAGGCACGAGCAGGCTTCCAAAGCTCTCTGCACACACGCCTCGCACAAGTGAGGATGGAGACAGCCAACCCCAACCCCAGTGTCGGGGTGCAGCAGCAGTGACAGGGAGGCCTCAGGGCCCTCTCGCTGAGCCTGGTCCTCGGGGAGGCAGGCGGCGGACCTGTCACGGGAACGCGGGTCCCTCCCTGACCCGGGCACCGAGGCTCCTCTTCCTTCTCCCGCTTGGCACTCAGTCGGTGTCTCTGCCTCGGGATGTGGGGTGGGGACGGCGGGCTCCGGGGGACCCCACCCAGGGGGACCCCACCCACCCGCGCCGCCCGGCCCAGTTCTCACCTCGCCGCCTGGGCTCGTCCTCGGGCCTCCGGCGCCTCGCGGGGTGTGGGATGGTTCGGCAGCGGCGGCCGGTCTGGCGGCTCCTCCAGTTCGGAATCCAGCTCCGGCTTTGCCACTTCTCCTGCCCCGGTCCGCTAGGCCACGCCCCAGTTCTGCGCAGGCGCAGTCCTTAGGCGTTCCTAAAGGCGCGGAAAGGGGAACCTGCGGAACCGCTGTCTCCGACCGGAAGTTGACAAGACGAGCCCAGCTCTGGGCGCAAGAGCGCGCCGGAAGTTGTGTGTTGGTGGTCGGGGGTTTTTCTTCCTTTGGTTCGCCGTGGCTGTGTTTTCAGTTTAGAGACGGCGGCAACGGGTTCCTGGTCCACGCTGCTCCTGAGACTGCCAGGATGTCCGCGATTCCTGCAGAGGAGAGCGACCAGCTGCTGATCCGACCCCTGTAAGGGACGAGCTAGCGAGGGAGCCTAGCCCCCGGATGTGGGAGAGCCAGGAGGGGTCGCCGCGGAGGCAGCTGCGGGCCCGGTCTCCCAGGCTCACGGGGTTTGGAGAATGTTGATCGAGGGGCTTGCTAGGTTGAATGTCATTTTACTTTTCCTTCAGTCCCAGGGGAGGGTATGTCGGAGTTGAAAAGAAAAGAAAAACCAGGTCGTTGGGCGCTTTCATAGAGAAGGGTTTGCCAATTAACACAAGCCTGGATCTCGCACAGGGAACCGACAGGTAGAGGAGGGCAGTGCAAGGGAGACCTGCGTCTGTTTAATGATCTCCAGACCCCACGTGCGCTCAGATGGCCGGGGTAATAAAGACGTGGTTTGTGCATTCAGAGCTCAGACCTGAGCAGAAGGCGGGAGGAAAATGCAGAGGAGAAAGCATAGTTGTCACGAAGGGAAAGTGAGCGCTCCGTTACCGTAAAAGTCTGGTTTTAGTGGAAAGGGCTTTCAGCGTTCTGGAATGCTGGCAGAGAATTGCCTCACGCCTGGAAAGGTCAAGAACGTACTGGTGCAGAGGAGCGATTTGACTCCACACACGATTATCGTTCAGTTTTAGATACTAGCTAGCACCACATGAATGTGTACATTTTTCAAAAGAGAGAAACCAGGCCGGGCGGTGGTGGCGCACGCCTTTAATCCCAGCACTTGGGAGGCAGAGGCAGGCGGATCTTTGTGAGTTCGAGACCAGCCTGGTCTACAAGAGCTAGTTCCAGGACAGGCTCCAAAACCACAGAGAAACCCTGTCTCGAAAAACTTAAAAAAAAAAAAAAAGAGAGAGAGAGAAACCAGATCCTTTATCCATTCATTCGGCGAGATTTACTGAAGCTGGGCGGTGGTAGTGCAAGCCTTTAATTCCAGTACTCAGGAGGCCGAGGCAGGCGAATCAATGTGAGTTCGAGACCAGCCTGGTCTACAGAGCGAGTTCGAGGACAGGCTCCAAAGCTACACAGAGAAACCCTGTCTCAAAAAACAAAACAAACCAGGGGGAAAAAAAACTACTGAGCGCTTACCAATGATTGCACGCAAGTGTCCGTGCCGTTCCCCTATATACACTAATCAAGTATCAGATACCTCATATTCAAGTGTCAGATACCTCAGCAGGCACAGGGTGAGTTCACTGATGCCACTCCTTTGGTTAAATTGTAGAGCAAAGTGTGTGTGGGGGGGGGGGGAGGTGCTGGAATGAGTTTGTAAAAACAGGAGCCAGCTACCTTGGAGTCAGACCTGAAACCCAGTCATTCTATTTAATAGGGAAGTAGCCTTCATGAAGCCACTTCCTCGGTTGTGGGGGGAAGAGCTCATGGGCTGCGCTCCTTTGACGTGTTACAAGGGTATGGAGAGGCATTGTGTTGAGGGTCAGAAAGGCTGCACATGGGACTTCCTGAGATTGAGGCAAGGATATCTTATGCACCCTGGAAATGGAATTGATGTACAACCCGAGTGTTAAAGAATTTGTAGAAATTAAAGGCAGTGTAGAAGCCAGAGTGTTCCAGGGGAACATGAGTGTAGTTCCAACTCATGGCCAAGTTCCTCTGGCTGTGGTTAACAGCAGATGACTTGGGACAGGCTGTCAGGTACCACCTTAGGAAGGACCTTGTGGAGATTCTAAGAGTATTTATCACACCAGTTATAGTAGCCAAGAGATTTGTGAGGTTTTTTTTTTTTTTAATTAATTTATTTTGTATACAGTGTTCTGTCTGCATGTATGCCTGCAGGCCAGAAGAGGGCACCAGATTTCATTACAGACGGTTGTGAGCCACCATGTGGTTGCTCGGAATTGAACTCAGGACCTCTGGAAGAGCAGCCAGTGATCTTAACCTCTGAGGCATCTCTCCAGCCCCCTAGCCAAGAGATTTATATACAAGAGATATAGTATACAAGAGATTTGAAGCAACTTTATAATGCAGTGGGAATTACATTAAAATGTGGCTACTTCCCCTACCCCCTTTAGAAGCACACGTGGGCCTTTTGCTAGTGACCCACTGAGCCATCAAGAAGGGACAGTAAAAATATCACTTTGGGGTGAAGTGGCAACATATGTTATTTGCTTCAATCATCACTGTGACAAGAAAAAAGCGAAAACCAACTCCACTGTGACTGAAAGATGGATTAATGAAGAAACTCTGGTTGGATGTCATTAAGCTGGGGCAGTTCTGGGTGACAAGTTATTTGTAGCCGGTAAAAGGATGGTGACGAGGGAGGAAGAATCGGGTTTCCAGAGATGAAGTAAAGTCTTGAGGAGTTTGTAACTGCTCAGGTGTTGTCTGCAGGGACAGTCATGAAGCACAGGGGGTACATTACAGACAAGAGGACAGACGGCGCAGCCGGGACAGAAAGTGTACCAGAGGAATTTTATAACCTTTCTTACAACTGCGGTACCTAATTCCAGAATATTTTCATTACCCCCCCCCTTTTAAAGCCCATTAGGAATCATACTCATTTCTCCCCACCCTCCCTAGCCCTCAGCATCAATCTATTTTCCTTCTCTGGATTTGCCTTTTTGAGGCATTTCCTACAAATGGAATCATACAAGATGAGCCCTTTGTCTTGGTTTCTTTCACTTAGCAGTTCTAAGGCTTCTGATACGGGAGTTTGGCAAACATTTCAGACCCAATAGCTGCACAGCAGTGGACAAGACAGATGTGAATCTTAATAGTGCTGCCATTGTAATATGTGAAGTACTCCGTAAATGTATCTGTTGCACTGCAGTGAGGTGGGGTGGCAGATTGAGGCTTGCAGTAAAGGATGCATTAGAGTAGGCAGTCAAGAAAGGGTCTGAGAAGGTGGAGACTCAGCCGATCTCAAGGAGCCAGTCCAGGAGTGTAAAAACTAGCCTGGCATACTGAACATGCAGTACCTGGCAGATGCCCCAGTAAAGAGGCTTAAATGTCAGGTGTATGTGTCAGAACAGTCTGGGCTGTGGAAAGAACCTCTGAAGTCATCGACATGTCAGACATGTAAGGACCATGGAGCTGGGAAGAGATCCCAGGAGAGACTTCAGAGGCTAGAGCTAAGTCAAGGCAGATCAGTGGGGGGAAATGGGAAAGCCAGCGAGACAGACTGGAGTGTGGAGTCAGAGAAGCTGGGAAGTGCTTGGTACTTGAAGGAGCCCTTAAACAAGGGAGCTAGTAGCTGCCAAGGGGACCAGTTAAGTAGAGCTGCTTCCTCTTAGCAGCAAGGACAATCTCAGAAAAGCAGCTGGGAGCAGCTGGTGCGTGGAGTGGATGGGAGGGGAGGAAATGCAGAGGGACAGCTCTGTGGGGAAGTTGGCTTAGGAATGAAATGGGAATTCCTCTGGATAAGAACCCAGGAGTTTAAACTGGATCAAAAAACGAGCATGGCATTTATTCACTTTTAAATTTGAGATGGAGGCTCCCTGTGTATCCTGGCTGTCCTGGAACTCTCCCTAGACTAGGCTGGCCTCGCCTTTACCTCCTACGTGCTAGGATTTCAGGAAAGTTCCACCATCATTTCTTCGTCTCTTAATCCGTGGCTAGCCCAGTGTGGATGGGTATGCATGGGTCCATCTCCTACCTGTTTGCTGCCAGACCACAAAGTCTTTGAGGTCTGATTACCTCATGGTGTCAGGCGCACATCTGTTCTGGGCAGTTAGTACCTTGCGTGAGAGCACTGAGTGAATTGTGAGCTAGATTTTTGGGAAAAGATAACCAAGAAGCAGTTATGTTTAGCTTAAGATGTGCGAGAAAGGGGAGGTCTGAAATCATGGGTGACCAGGCTGCTTGGTACAGTGATCTGCAGATGACAGGCTATGACTTGGTGACTTGATCAGAAATGGTTGTTCTAGAAGTGCTGTGTGACTCTGCTCATGTAAATCCTAAATGTCCCTCAGCTCCCAAGGACCACTTTTCACCCCTTCCTATCCTAGCACTCATCCTCTGTTTGAGCTCTGCAACTGTCATCTGTCTCAGAAAATGACCACTGCCATCGTTCGAGGGCTGTTTAAGTCATGAAAGAGTTTTAACTTATGTTGAATGTTACTGGAGTGGAGTGAGATAGGCTTACTGAGCACTGATTTACTCTCTGTAGCTTCTTAGTGCTGGTTTTGTAGGCATGTGCTTTAATTGCTTTTTAATCATTTTTCCATTTGAATGTTTGCAGTGGCGCTGGGCAAGAAGTGGGAAGATCATGCATTATTTTGGAGTTCAAAGGGAGAAAAATCATGGTAAGTATTATTGGTGGTATCATTGCTGTTTGGTACTGGAAATTGAACTTGGGGCCTTGTGAATGCCAAGGACATGATCTGCCCCTGAATCATACCCTAGCCTGGTGATCATTTGTTCAGTTAAGAAAACAGTGTAGCTCTTCTGTACTGTCTGTTAGGTCTGTCCTAGTGACCAGTTATCTCTGTAGCACCAGCCAAGAGGGGTGTGCATGATGTATGTAGTCAACACTGTGACGAGAGAAAGACTAACACTTTTGTGCTTAGTAACTAAAAGCATTAAGTAACCTAAAAAGATACCTTGTAAGACTGTAAAGCTGCCAACTACATCTGCCAGACTATTGTCTCTTCCACGTCCTTGTCCGCTCCCAAGGTGTGTGGATAA